CTACTAGGGGCTCCTGGCATCGCTACTAGGAACAAGGACGCTACTAGTATGGCTTCCAACCTACTGGCGATGGCGTCCAACCTACTAGCGATGGCCTCCTCCAATGTAGTAGCGATGACCTCCAACCTACTAGTGATGGCCTCCAACCTAGTTGCGATGGCCTCCAACCTACTAGCAATGGCCTCCCCCCAAGTGATGGCCTCAAACATTTTAACGATGGCCTCTAACCTAATATTAAGCAATGGCCTCCAACCTACTGGCGATGGCCTCCACAATCCGAAGGACTGCTGGTATGGGCGAGGTGTCACGCAGCTCACGTGGCCGGCCAATTACGGAATGCTGCAAGACATCATCCAAAAGGTGTGGCGGTCAGCATGTGGCAATTTGGAATAGATTAATATACGAGAGTATATGTTATATAGCTTGTTTTTTTGGTAGTTGTCCATATGTCTAGATGCATTTAAACAAGCATATATTATATACATATATATATATGTGTGTGCAGCAAGGCGAAGATGATTTTTCCCAAGAAACAAGAGGTTGTATGGTATCCCAGGCGTGTTTTGGTGCCGTCCCAATTGTATTTCGATGTATCTTGTGCATATTTAATTGTCTTGATCCAGTTTTTTGATGGCGACGCATTTTTGCTACTGGTTTCCCAGTCGTGCGATGATGATGGCCCATGAACTTCTATGTTGGCGTTGGCGTGTTGGTCACGTGATGATGGACAGTGGTCCCGTGATGCTAGGCTCATGGCAGCCAACCAAACATGCAGACTTCAATATTCGTTGGCAGGTGCACATGCTTGGAGCGTGTGGAACATAGACCGTTCCGGGCTGTCTTGCAGTTGCACCTTGAGCTCTACTCGTTTGCTAGTAGGTTGGAGGTCATCGCTTTTAGGTTGGAGGTCATCACTGGTAGGTTGGAGGCCATCGCTTTTAGGTTGGAGGCCATCACTAGTAGGTTGGAGGCCATCACTGGTAGGTTGGAGGCCATTGCTTAATATTAGGTTAGAGGCCATCGTTAAAATGTTTGAGGCCATCACTTGGGGGAGGCCATTGCTAGTAGGTTGGAGGCCATCGCAACTAGGTTGGAGGCCATCACTAGCACGTTGGAGCCCATCGCTAGTATGTTGGAGGCCATCGCTTGGAGGTTGGAGTTCTGCCTAGTAGGTTGGAGGCCCTCGCTAGTAGGTTGGAGGCCATCGTTTGCGAAAGGTTTTTCTGCAGAGGTGCATTCGTCGTTTTGGACCTTGAGATTTGAGCATCGCTAAGATTGCCAGGCCGCAGTACATACCTTTCCCTGGAACTCCTAGGCTTTCATACCTAGGTGGGCGTGTGGCATGTGGCATTCAGTTCCGTACGCAATATCTCTAGTGTGTCTGGCTTCATGCCAGCCCAGGGTGAGCCCGAGGAGTGCCCACCCATCACTTCTTGCCGTTGAATCAGCCAAGGTCTAACTGCATCAAAGGTCTAATTGCAGTAAAAGTGAGGTCCAGTGACTTGACGCTGCTCTCTCACGTGCTTCACATCCAAGTGTACACCTTGGAGTCAAAGGTAGGCCTTTGGCTCAATAGGTTTCATGCTTGCAGGGGGCACGGAGACCGATTTCCCATCCGTGCCAACGAAGCTACGGAAATCAGTTGGAAGAGAGTTGGGACGCCAACTCTTGTACCTGCACTTTGAATGGTTTGCCTTCAGGATTCAGGTTGGCAGATTTGAGCGTTCGTCGTCGACCTCGTCAAAAGCTGGAATCTTCTGAAAGCTTTGGAAGCCCTGGACCTCTTTGAGCTTTTGAGACTTGCACGCCATGGTCAGACCGCTTTACATGCGTTCACCCCTGTGTTCCTTCGATTTCTTTACTCAGGCTAGTTCGTGTGCATCTTTTCCCGGGCGTTTTTGTGTGCCAGGTTGTTCTGGATGGCTGCCTAGTTGTTGCAACTCAAACTTCTCTTTGGTGTTTGCAGCAGTTGCGATTCTTATTCGCGGCAACATGTAAGATGATATTTGTACATTGCTCTTGGGCCGATCGCCTCTTTTGGATCAACTTGCCCCAACTCTGGACAGTCTTGATCCCTTTTGTGACCCCTTTTGTCGTTGAGTCGCAGGTGACTGGCCAGGATCTATGCAACAATCCGGACTTCGTGTGCAACACTGCAGAGAATGGCTTTGTAACAGCCATCGGGTATTGGATGAAGAACTGCCAAGAATGGGACGCCTCTCACACCTTCGACGCAGCTTTGGCAGCAATTCGGCCGGCCAACACACAAGCCAATCCAGAGCGCAGAGCGTCGTTCTATGAGTGGTTGAAAGCATTGGGCATTTCGCCGGTGACAACTACACCAAAGCCGCCCATGCCCGATGAGGGCGAGACACAGGTCAAGGCAGGCGAGGGGTGCTGGCAAATTGCGGATCGTTGTTGCGATGGGCAGGCCGGACTTGACAAAGAACACCGTTCAAGCCACAACAGCTTGCAATAAAGAAACTGCAACTTCCAAAAGTGTTCCATTGCAATAAAGACGCTCATAGAAACATATTCCACGGACCCCCCAAAGTGTCCAATCTATGAGCCTTCCTCCCAAAGTGCCCGGTTTCCTGCAGGGCGCTGACTATGCGACAGTCATTTGTGATCCACCAGCGTGCAGTCCTGGCCCTTCCGCGGGCACGACCATCAAGTACAATTGCAAAGGATGCAATTGATCGCATTTTAGTCTCCTTCACCATATGTCCTTCTTTCACACAGATAGCGTACATGGGAACTGTGAGGGTTGGAAGTGGCGAATGGAATTTTGTGTGTTGACTGCCATCATCACGATTGGCGACATTCGCAACAGCATCCCAAAAGAGGATGAGGCGAAAATGATGAAGAACACTACTGGCGGGGAGCGCACTTTGTGCTTTTGGACAGTATATATATATACATGCAATTGACATGCAATTGACATGGAATTGATATTTCAGCTGGTGCAATTGTCACACATGTCTGGCCTAGCAGGAAGTTCTTGCGGTTGTTGGGTGCGATGTGCTGATGTGATTCGTCGCTTAGGGATGTCGCGACAACCGCTGCGATGTAAGACTGTCCACGGTCACATTTTGACTGGGCTCATCGACTTGGGCCACAGTTGCCTCTCTGGCTTTTTTGGGACTTTGATGCCCAGGATCGGGGAACCTCTGGACTGATCTTGTGTGCCAAGACCTACTTGGGTGCCAGCCTTAACTTACGGCGCCGCCAGCTTTCGTCTGGCTGGTGCGAAGCCTTCGCCACAGCGGGCCCAGCCACCTGAATCATCATCCCCATCGAGCCACCACTGGCGACTGAGTCACATCGAGTGGTGTCCCTTCACGTCCAAGAAGTCGCAATTTGCCCAAGAAGTTGATGAGGTTTCTACTTGTCTCAGCTGGAATTTGAGGCAGGAATGTCCTGTCCGGAGAGCAGCCTGACTTCCACCCCTGTCCGCACGTGGCAGATCGTGGCAGGCTAGGCGGCTCCGGAAGACTTATCTCTGCATTTGTGAAGGGCACGCCCCAACGTCCTCAACCCAGGGAACCTGCGGACAGGACTGAATCTTATGGATCGAGAAAGAGAGAGGGGAGAGGCGAAAGATGCTGATCTTGAGTCCTTCTTACACTTGTTTGGACCAAAAGGAAACTAAACATGATGCAACAACAAATTAAATCAGCAGGTCTTTCGCTTCAATGACTCGACTTCTTGATGAACATGTTCACCTCGTGAAGGCAAAGCCGCCATTTCGGCTAAGGCCGCCATTTCTGTTGGAAGCGCCACTGGCCACGCGTGGTGCGCCGAATCCCAGAAGTCTGCCTTGTCGAGCTTGTTAGTTTTCTTCGATGCATACAGGGCAGTTTTATATAAGTGGTTTTAAGGTGACCGGTATGCATACAGACAGACTCACTGCGTTTGAGCTAAAGAGAAACCATGAAACTGCGGCGGTCGAAGGGGTCGATGTCAGACTGTTATGTTTCGTAGTGAATCAAAGACTCTTAAAGGAAAGGGAACTAGTGATGGCTCCACCCTAGGAGCGATGGCCTCCACCCTAGTAGCGATGGCCTCCAATCTAATAGCGATGGCCTCCAAGAGTAGCTAGGAACTTGTGATCTTCAGCTGGGAGGTCGAAGGGGAAGGTCAAAGGGGATATGCTTGGCATTTGGGAGGTGCAGAAGTGTTTGGGAGCCTATGGCTAATCTCATGAAGCGGGCGGTAGAGAGAGGGAGAGAGAGGTACTTGGGAATTCTGTTGCTTTTTCAGATTTGGAGATGCAAAATTCTTGCTGAGTGCCTTCAGGAGGCAGGGCCTTTGTGTCCACCAGAGGCAAGCATGCAAAGACAGAGGCAGCTGCTCAACTTCTTTGAACGATTTGAGCTCTGAAATTGGCAATTAGGAACAAGAATCAAGAAGCTATTAGGAACAAGTGCATCGCTACTAGTAACAAGTGCCTTACTAGTAGCAACAAGAAGCTATTAGAAACAAGAAACTATTAGGAACAAGTGCATCGCTTCTAGTAGCAAGTGCCTTACTAGAGAAAGAGCCGGACATTGATGTTGGGCAAGATTCTGCCAGCACTTGCTACTGGTGAATGCCAATTTTCTGGCGGGAAGGTTTCATCGTCACATTCCACAGACGTGTTTGACACCAGACGCAGACGCCTGTAGAGGTGTTGAGCCGCTGCCAGGTAGTTGAAGTGTCACACCTTCTGGATGAAGTTGGACAGCCTTGCAGTCTGCTGGAAGTGCGTCTCCATACCGGAAGGCCAGCGACCCACACGGGAAGCAGGCAAGGGGTGGCTGTCCGACCCTAAATCGGGCCAACAGTTCTGCTCAGTAGACGCTTTTTGCAGATGCAAAGGTCGGGGTTTGCTTCAGATATTGATGCATGGTCTTGACACGAGACCATGCTTGAGGCTGCACCAAATCCGAGCCCATTTGAGCTCCATTGGGCATGCCATCCGTGGTGACGCAAGCTACGGCCTGGATCTTGAAAAACAGCAACTCCGAATCCGAGAAAGCGCAAGACGAGCATCAATGAGCATCAATGAGCCCCAGGCTGACACAAGGTGGCCATGCTCTACCCCAACGATCCCCGTTGCGGACTTAGGTGGAACGAAAGGCCCCAGAGTGCTACTCCATGCGAGCAGGCGGAAATTCGGGGCCCGGAGACGAGGGGCATGTTGCACGCGAACATGAAAAAGAATCGATGACCAGTGGTTAGTTCCTTGGGTAGTGAACAGGGGTCCCTACATGCGACAGAGAACCTTCATGCTGGAGGAAGACCAGTGCTTTGCATGCTTGGACTTCAACCCTGCAACGCCTTGGATTGGAGTGTTCGCCCACCCTGCATGAGATTCGATCTTCTGGGACGAACATGTAGTGCGGCCAGCTCCAAACGTCATCACCGTGAAAAAGAAGATGACCGTGGACAAGGCCGCAGCTGCAACGATCCCGGAGACTGCGGGGGAGGTTCTCGACCATGTGAGCAACAGCGTGGACAGTCCACCGGGGCAGGGACAATCGAGCGGCCAAGGAGCTCCGAGACAAGTGGAATGCCTCGAGCCAAACGGAAACAAACTTGTGGTCCACATGGCCGCGGGGACAGTCATGGGAAGCTGGCCGATCGGACACCTCGAAGAGCACGCCGTATCAGAAGGCTAAAAGTGGTCTCCATTCGACCAACTCGGACGGGGTGGAGATCTGCTATAGGTTTGCCAAGGGTGCAACCAACAGCTGTCCGGAACCCTGCAAGGACGGGAGCGATCATGCACGCCAGATTTGCCTGGGTCGTCATCCAAATGCAGATCGACAAAAGGTGGCGGCAAGAACAAGGACTCAGGCGGCAAAATGACAGAAGCGAAAACTGGAGGAAGCCGTCGAGAATGGGGAGGTGGAGAACTTCGACTTCGAGGACTTCATCGAGACCAGTCCGCGATGGGAGGCTGAGGAAGTTCCGTTTCTTGGAACTTTATGCTGGCATGGGCGGCCTGTCGAGGGCCGTGAGGGAAGTGGCCGGGGACCTGGTGGAGGTACTGGAGCCGCAGGACATCTACCACGAGTGCGACATTCTCACCGACGAGGACTACAAGTGGGCAAAAGGGCAAGTCGAGGAGGCCGACTGGACGCATGCTGCATTCCCTTGCGAATCGTTCACTCGGGCAAGAAGGTCCGAACATGGTGCCCCTGTAGTGGTTCAAGACGACGCACACCCAGAGGGCTGGGCCACCACCCATTGTCCGAGTGAAGAGAGGGTGGCACTGGGGTTCAGGGCTCACGAGAAGGGCAAGTTCTTCACAATGGACAATCGACGTGGGTCCTTCGCATGGGAGAACTAAGTTCTCAAGCAGCTCATGAAGGTCATGCATGCGGAGATCCTGGAACTCGAGCAGGGGCAAAGACAAGGCAGCCTACACGGATCTTCGCCGCTGCTCCATGGATGCGACATGTCGTGCTGAAGTGCATGGATGCACAGCCTCATCGACACCGAGGGGGTGGACTCAGTGGCCATGTCTGGGACCCCATCACGGGATTGGACCTGGCGCACATCGAGGGTATACCCCGCTGGAGATTTGCTGGGCCTGGGCGGAGGCACTCAGGCAATGGCTCGTGTCCACAGAGAGGCAACATTGGCTGGCAGCAAGACCGCTGGTGAGAGCCGATGGGCGGCACATGACTTTGATGTCCCTGGACAAGATCTGGGAGCAAGAAGGGCAAGCAATCCAGTCAGCGGTCGGCTCCAAGCCAGGCCAGGGGTGTGCTGCACAGAAGTGGGGGAAAAAAAAACTGAGGTCATTGGTGAAAGACCCTGAAAAAGCAGTTGCACGAAATGCGCATCTTCGAAGGGCTGGCAATCGAATTCGACAATGCTTTTAGGACTTGCTGACACAGCAAGTGCTGACAGAATTTGAGAATGTACACGAAGAGTCGCCGTTCGCTGACGATCTGGGCTGGGCAGCCCGGGAGAGGTTCAGGCATGAGTTTGAAACTGAGCTGATACAGAAGGGCTGCCAGTACGGACTGCTGAGAGAAGTGTTGAGTCAGGCGCAAAAACCCTGACGCCACGGTGCTGCCGGACTGGATTGAACATGGCTTTCCCATCGGCGTCAGCAAAGAGATCAAGTGCACAGGAATCTTGCCTCGAACGGATGAGCTCACAGCGGCTGCAAAGGCCCCCCAGGCCGTCGCAGTCATCCATGACTGGGATGGCACAGCACGAAACTACAGCTCGTTTATGCTCGTTTGAAGAAGCTGGGGAGAAGGCGCCGTATGAGCTGGACCGCATGGTCACTCGTGGTTGGGCAGAGCACTTCTTGACCTGGCATGATCGTGTTGGGCCAGCCAACCTCACCAAGAAGATGGCCTGCATCGTGTAAATGAAGCACGGGCGTGAGAAAGTTCGAATCATTGTTGACATGAGAAGGTCGGGCACCAATGGTAAGATGAAAGTGTTTGAAAAAAAATGGTCCTTCCCCGAGTTTCCCATCTCCCTCAAGGAACTTTTGAAGCATGCACGTGTAGTGAATTTATACATTATACTTTGATGCTACATGAGGATGAACAAACGCGCACTGTTGTGAAGGGGAATGCCGGTGCCTACTACATTTTAAAGTGCGTTTGTTTCGGCCTCTGTTGTGGGCCATTGGTCTGGGGCAGACTGGCGGCTGCCTTTTTTAGGCTTGGACAATCCACCATGCGGACGGGGTAGGGTCGATCACAGTGTTACGTGGACGACCATATTCTTACCGCACTTGGTAGGTCAACAACCGCACGTTCCCTAGTGTTTGCTTGGGTAACCCTGCTTTGGTGTGCGTTGGGGGCCAAAACCAATTCCCCTGCCATTTTGGTCAAGTGGGGGCTCTTGGAAGTAAAGGACAGCGCGGCAAAAAACGGGAAAAGAAACGAAGTGCACACAAAACTGCGAACATGTCAAATTCAGTCTGCCATGCCGGATCTCCAATGCGACAGTCCGCACTGATCCACTGGGCATCCTGATTCGTCAACGAATGCATGAAATATCCTGCCGGTTTGGCAACGTAGCCCCCCGATGCCTGTGGGACATGCGTCGATCCATATTTCACACATGGGCAGGGATCCACAAGATCTGTTTCCAGAAACACAATCCCTCCGGTTGCGCATTGTTCGCGCGCTCGCTGAGCTTCCGTCAAAGCACCCCACAAAGCCGAAGTCCAGGGTCTGGACGTTGGGACTGACCCAGCCCATCACTCCGGCCGCCTGAGCAAGCGTTCGGATGGGAATCATGCCCTTTCGATGATCATTTCAAACAGTTAGAACTACTTTGCAGCCTTATTAGGGGTGAGGGAAACCCGCAAGGTGCAGTTGGTGGACCCTTCAACGCGACGCCAATCCACTCGACATCACATCCCCGACTCACCTTCTTCCAGGCGAGGTTAAAACTTGAGTTTCTCCAACTGCCGCCGCTTGAAGGACGTCATGTCCGTGGCCTGCTGAACACACCATAGCGGGTTCGCTTTCGAGAGGCGAATTTCCGATTGACCCGACTGGTGTTCCACAGTTCACCTTGACTGACGGAGCACGGCTCGGTCGGAGATGTTCGCATTAGATCGATGGCTCGAGTAGGAAGGAGAAGAGGGTGCGTGTGTGTTTGTATATGTGGCGTTGCAGCTTCACTCTGTCCAAGCGTTGACGTGAGGGGGTAGGTCTGTCCCATGAAGAACATGGTTCGGTCCCACATTTGGAACTGGTGCGCGAGCCCTCGCTCAGGATGGGTGCCTGCAGGCGCCCATCGAATAAAGGACTCATGGCGCAAAGACGAAACCAGTGGATCATTGGAAGTGAGATTCAGGAGAACGATCTGCCCCCTCTGGCTCTCAGGGCAGGGCTTGCAAGTCAAAGGAAAAACTATCCAGGCTCCGGAAGGGGAGCTGGGCACTCCGGGAGTGGAGATGCGGAAGGCCACCACGTCGGTGCGGCACCAGAGGGTCCACCAGTTATCGTGTTGGATCCTGAGACGTTGGTGAAGCGCCGAAGAGGCGCACCACTAACGCCAGATCCGACGCGCATGGAGGAGAGAGCTAGGCCCATTTAGTTCACCGAGCGCGTATGGGCTATCAGCAGTTGGCCTATGCGGCGGGAACGATTGACACGAAAGTTTTATGTACAAAGCATGGTCCGAAATTATGGGGACGCATGATCTCGTTCTTCTTCCTCTCGCCACCGAAAAGTGCCAGCTGTTCGTGCCAGTGTTTCGGGCCGCCGCTTTTCGAACCGCATACACATACCGCGTGGAAACCAGACAGTGACACCTGAAAGAAGGTTTCGGCTGGAGCGAACAGCTTGTGCTTTGCATCGAAGAGTGCAAGGGAGCGTGCGTTAGGGGCACTACTCGTCGCTCCAAAAAGATTCGCATGGAGTGGAAGCAGGAGCTTTGGGAGCTGGATGGAGGTGTGGTCAGTCCACCCAAGCCTGGAGGACCGCACGGTGGCCTTTTGGTATGGGCGCTAGGATGTCATTTCCTGCTCCGTGATGGACTAAAATGTCCTTCGAAGTGGCGATGGAACTAGTGGCAAGACAGGAGGAACGAACACGAATCAAAGCCGATTCGTTGCTGGCACATTCTGTTCCTCTCATCGGACAGAGCGGGTCTCCCAGGCTGTTTGTCTCAAAGGCTGACATGATTGAAACTGCTCAGGCTGACGCTGCCCGGGTTGTCGCCCGTGTGCAAAACGCAGGTGACATCGACGTGCAACGCCTCACTGGGCACTTCATGCGACGCGGCGGAGCAAAGGCATTGGCTCGGGCTGGCACGCCCATCGCATTGATCAAGCCGAATCAAGCACATGTCACGGCACAGCGCCAATGTAGTGCAGACCTATGTCGAGGAGGCCCTGGAGGAGTCCCCGAACGCACCACCCATGCAGGCAAACTACCGCCAGACACAGAAGCTGATCGAGGACCGCCGAGGCGAACTTCAAGCCTTGAAGAAAGCCAGGATGACTGAATCAGCGCTCGAGGCATGCAGTTCGTCATCGACGGGCAGGACTTCTCTCACCTTGAAGGCGAGGTGCGACAGCTGCGGGAGAACATGAGGCCTTTTTACATTCGCAACATGGTCTTTGGCACCGTGCGCCCCACCCAAAGATGTCAGTTCTGGCAAGCGCCATTGGAGTGGACAACGAAGTGTGGGTGGAAACGGGCAACCAGCACCAGGAACATCGAACACTGCAATGAGGAGGACTTGGGCAAATTCGGTTTGTGCAGTAAATGCTTTACGTAGCCATTCAATTCATTGATGTTTGGAATTATGAACAGTTCACCTCAGGTTCAATGTGCTCCGATAGGCCTGATATGGTCGAGAACAATGCACGCGTTTGGAAAAGGTCGATTAGATGGTTGAGTTTGGTTTGGTGTCAGCGTTCTGTGACCACCACGGTTACCCAGAATTTTTTTTGTTCTTGTACTGAGGGAAGGCCCAGCGAAGGTCATGAGATTTGAGGGGAGCGGTGGAGCTGGTGGCAGGCGGAACAAAGAAAGGGAAACACGTGGCCTACACTCACCTGGAGGTGCGTGACAGGCTGGAGGCCGCACTCTTTCTTTTGGAGAAACATGCGCTCAGCCTTTCCACCAACCTGCGAGTCGAAAACCTGTGCATACATGTTCATGCTTGATGGTTTTGTTGTAGGGTTGGTAGGGTGGGGGCTTGCACTGCGATTGGCGGTTATTGTGACAAAACTGTGAAGCAAAACTCTGTTGCAAGTAATGACAGTTGAGCAGTGTTCGGTGGTGTGGTCACGCTCTTGAGATGTGCCAATGTTGGCTCAAGAGCACGACCAGTTGAGCGTTCACGTCACCCCCCCCACACGTGCTGATGCATTGAGTGTTGGTTGAGTTTGGCTTGGTGTCAGCGTTCTGTGACCACCACCGTTACCCAGAAGTCTTGTGACCTTGTACTGAGGGAAGGCTCAGTGAAGGTCATGCGGCTGCCACCTTCGTTCGCCTCCTGGCGCAGGGCAAGGCGCTCCCACCCGGCGCCTTCCCGGCCCTCCGTTGCGGCGGCCTGGGGGAGGCGTTGGTGCGGCCTCCTCGCCTTCGCGGCCCAGTGCGCCTTCTTGGCTTCGCTCCTGGCCTTCCCTGCCAGGCCCGGGGCGAACGTCGACGGCGAAGCTCCGCTCCTCAGCGACCTTGCCGTCCCCCATGGCGACGGCACGCACCCCAGCCGCCTTGGGCCGCGCTCGTGCAGCGGCGCCCTAGCCATGTGTAACCCAAGCATGCCTAACCATGCGGCATCCCATGTACATAACCCTGACCAAGAACCTCACTGAACCATGTGTGACCATGTAGCTGCCACCCGCAAAGACTTCAGCGCTCGTGCCTTTCCCCGAAGAATAAGAAGGCCCGGCAACGCGCCCGGGCAAAAGGCGCAGGCGCCCCGATTCGTGGGGTGACGGACCTTGCCCCCCTTTAGTTGTCACATGTGGGGACGGCAGACGGTTTATAGAATTTTTTAGACTCATTCTTGGAGATTGTTGACCTTCCAACAAGACTCTCTAATTGCACTTTGTTGCGTGGTATATGCAGTACTTAGCGGCCTTGACGTGCAGATTTCGTGGCGGGTAAAATTCTTTGCGGACCTTGAAATTATGCAGGCCTTACTTTGTGGACCTGCAACTGCTGATTCCGTGACAGGTGCATTTTGTTGAGGTGCAGATTTCGCGCAGCCGAAATACTTTGTGGGCCTTTCCCAGCTTGCGAAACCCCACTCGGGCGCACTTGTCCCGAAGAATCAACGCTCGATGACATCAACAGGCAGCCTGAGAAAGTATTTGGTCCT